GATTACTAAGCTCTTGATTCAAGCGGTTGTTAGACTAAGTCTTGTTGTGTCTTTCCAACCGAACGAAGTCGACGGAGTACTATGATGCTGGGAAAGAGAGGTGCAACCCTGCCCGAGGTCCTGCCCGAGAAGTTCATTGAAAAAAATACACATAGGTTGCCGCCAAAGGACATCGGCCGTTGTTGTGCCATCACCATGTCATGACGCGGTGTGACATCCATACCCGGATTCCTGCGTCAGCACCACGGCTGCTAGCCGTTGCTCCGCATTGTCAATGGCCACAGGCGGCCGACCACCCTCGTCGTTGTTCGTGATGCTGTTGCCCATCAGCAGCTCGGAACTTTCCTCCGGGGCTTCGAACACCATTCTCAAGATTGTCGCAAAGGCTCCTGTGATGGACTCGTTATATTCTCTTGGGATAACTAGTTGTACATCTGTAATTCGGTTATCCACACCAATGTTTTCTTATTTACCACGAGTCTACCACCATGGGACTGCACTAGCGTATTTATGGTGCCAGGCACATGATGGGAGGCGGTGGAGACATTATTTTATTCAACGTAGAATCATGGTCATTCCGATGGATGTGTGGTCCATCCCATTCATGCCTTGGTGGGAAGTTGTTCGACAATTAGGGTACACTTGCTTTATTAGATGGCTTGACTCCCCGGCTAACTTCTACCAATATCTGGGTGATGCAGGATTACGAGGCTAAAATATGGGCCTTCAAGTGCCGGATTGACCTGTCAACGATGGAGGCATCAAAGACAACTTTATTCAACTTCCTTCAACCAGGAATGGAATAAGTCAGTATTGCATGTTGCTTATTCACCACACCCTCCAAGAGAGTATCATTCCAATTCTAGGCCATGAGATGCAAAAACACCAGGGACATAGTTTCTGCTTGCTAGCTCATACGCACCCTCATGAATAGTAAAATTAAAAATAGTAAACAATATTAAAAAAATCTGAATTTTTCTCCATGCGTGCAAATTTCGAAGTGGGCAAATTCCGAACATGCCTAGCCGGACGAGTCCAGGACGGCGGCTCCGAGCGACTTCGACGATGGTCGTGTCGTCGTGACTACGAAGGCAGCACAGCGGTGGTGGACGTTGCCTCCATGGCTTGTGTGGTGGGCGTGCTCTGGTGGGCAATGGGCCATGGATATAGAGCCCGTCCAGATCCTTGTCGTTACAGAGCCGATCTACGAAAATTAGTGCCGATCCAACTGGCTGCGAATTGGGGAGAAGTGGGCAACATTGAAAACTGAGCTCCGACTTTGGTCGTGGCGGGTGATGATGGTGTCTATGTGTCATTACCTTGTTGAAGGCATCGTCAATGCAGTCATTATCTCCTAGCTCGGGTTGTTCTGACGGAAAACCCTTGATCTAGGTCTCCAGATCGAACGATGCCGGTGTTGTCGGTGCCGTTTATCCCTCATGAGGGCATCATTTTGGAGCATATGCTTGCTGGAGTCGTCACGAGGTGGAGCAGTGTGGCATCTACTGCATCGACGACTGTGGGTCTCGGCGGCATGGTGCAGCGCGGTGTCTTGGCGACGAATGCGTCTTGATGGACAAGCACAGGGCAGTGGCGCTGTTTGGAGCCGTGGCGGCATTGACGGCTGGCTGGGAAAGGATAATGCGGACTCTACCATGGAGATGGCTCGGCCTCTCCATTGTAGGGGCGGCTTCGGAAGCGTGTGCATATGATACACGTGCTGGGTCTGCTGGACCGGATGTCCACGCTCGGTACGTCATGTGGGCGGCTCCGCCATTTCCCCGGTTCTAGATGGTGGGGGCATGATGGCATCCCCATTGTCAAGTTTGTAGGTGTGGAGTTGTGGCTTCGGCTTGTTGGTGTATGTTCTTGTCACATCTTTGTTGAATAATTTAATTAAGATGATTTTGTACATCTATCGATGCAGAGGCCGGAGTCAACCTCATTTTCAAAAAAAAAAAGCAGCTCGCCGCCGCCGTTAGACCCTCCGAGGGTCTTGCCTTCCTCTTCTAGTTTAGGTTAAGCTATGATGTATTTGCCTTTCACTTTGTCTTCAGTAGTTGTCACTCTGTTCTTAAGTCATGTGTAAATGCCCTTGTAACAGTAATTATCATAACTGATCAATGCAAGAGTCAAGCTTTCTATCAGTTTAATTGCTTCTCTACTTGATTTTAAGCTGCTCGTCTCTGAAGGAGTTAGCCATGGGTGGACTAAAGTTTGCTTGCCGCGTCTTTTCAGCTGACTCGACTCGACGGGCATGATGCCAGATAGTAAAGGTGCCACCCTGCTCAAGGACCTGCCCGAGGACGGCGACGAGATCATTGACAAGATACTCCGTCGGATTGCCATGCCGCCCAATGACGTTGGTCGCTGCCATGCTGTCACCATGTCATGGCACAGTGTGACATCCATGCCCGCATTCTTGTCAAATTCATATCAAAATAAGCAATCTACGAAGATTCGGTGTACCAGGATTGTATCATAGAACCATATCAGTACTGTCTATACTGACACGCATAGCCAGAAGGAACATATCACAGATGCCACAGAAACAACGACGGTAAGCCATCAGCAGATTCTTGGAGCTGAGGTCCAGACGAATCCTTGCAAAAATGTCCAAAACATCTGAAAATGTTATCTCACAAGCTTCTCTAGATGAATCAGATTAAACGGTGACTAGTCCCCGGCCAGATACTTCAGTTCACAGCAACCAAGTCCTGAGTGAAGAGCACATGTAAACCAGCAAGAAAGAAACGAGGAAGAAAGAAAGATGCGAAGACACAACAGAACTCAGCAAACTTCCGATATCCAACGGATTAATCAACCGACTGACGTCAATTCATATAATACAAGGTATAAGTTCATAGCATGATCCAATCCTAGGTACAAACGGAAGTTTTCACGTAGCTTACGAGCCCCATATATTGGACTGAACGTAACGAGTTTTGACGTAGCTGACGAAGAGACTGTAGCAAGAAGTGTATGATAGTAACAGTTGTTATTGACAAATGTGCGAGTTTTCTGCTGCCATGAGTCCAGGAATTCAGCAGCCAGGTTGATCAGGAGAAGGGCATGTACCTGTTACAGAAAATACAGAAAAGATTCAGCTACATAAAGGTTACCACAAGAAAGCGGGACAACTGTGTAAAGAAAATGGATATCGGCATAGAAGTAAACATAAATAGCACATGATTTCTATACATATGGTCCAGCTTTGCTAAAATAAAAGGGGGACATGAGAAGCAACTGTTGCAGAAAGAATGCAAACAATACACAATGGAATCAGAGAAAGATTTCATAACTGAATGTGTGATGGTCCTGGAGATAGCTTACTTGTTTAGCAATAGTATTCGCATAACAGAATTTCTTGGAATAGCAGCAATTATCATGTAATTACACCCAAGTAATTAAAGATAAAAAGAAGTACCATAAACAGGTACAGCTAGCACATGCAGAGGAACAGATTTGAAAGTATAACCAACTCATACAAATCTAATACATACTAAAATGTGTGCATTTAGACCCCAATTTATGGATACTAGTTTGAAACCCATGATGCTTCTAATTCGAACAGAAACAAGTGTCTGGAATATCCAAGCCAGCATCTACGACATTGTGGATGTTTGCGTGGATTGGAAACACACATTATACAATGAACTGTTCTACACAAGAACACTAATCAACCAAGCAAGTAAAAGCTTCTGAAAGGCTCTACTGGTCTCTTATCCTTCCTTGATATCATGACTGGTACTAGAACTGCATATACAATGAACTGCAACACTTGGTAGCCTGTAACCAACAATTACTATCCCTGGTAGATTATTATGACCGTCTCTAGTGATCTCTGCTCCGACCTTGATGTTATGACTGATACTAGTTGCTGAAGAAAGAATGTAAACAACACAAACACAATGGAATCAGAGGAAGATTGATAGCATATTCGCTTAGCCAATAGTATTCACATGACAGGATTTGTTGGAATAACTGCAATTACTATGTAATTACACCCAAATAAATTAAGATGGAAAGAAGTAGCACAAAAAAGTACAGCTAGCACACGCAGAGGAACATATTTTTGAAATATGACCAACTCATACAAGTCTAATACATACTAAAACATGTGCATTTAGACCATGAATTTCTGGATATTAGTTTGAAACCCATGATCGATGCTTCTAATTCCAACTGAAATAAGTGCCTGGATATCTAAGCCAACATCTAAGACATTGTTGATGTTCACCTGGATTAGAGACACCCATTAAGTAATAATCAACCAAGCAAGTAAAAGCTTCTGAACATGACCAACAATAATTACTATTCCTGGTACATATATACTACACCTCTGATTTTCATGGACAAAGACTCATACATTCATGAAATTTACTGAACATGACCAACTCATATGTCAATTTCGAAACAAGAGAAGTGACTACCAAGTCAGAGACGTATGCTAAGCTGGCCCACAGATGGAAAGAAGTACCATAAACAATTACAGCTAGCACACTCATGGAAACAGATTTTGGAAGTGTGACCAATTCATATATGTCTAATACATACTAAAACCTCTGCATTTAGAGCACAAATTTCTGGATATTAGTTTGAAACCCACGATTGATACTTCTAATGCCAACTGAAATAAGTTCCTGGAATATCCAAGCCAACATTGTATAGAAAGATACCCATTATACACAGCCCAGAGTGTGTTCTACGCAAAAGTACTAATCAACCAAGCAAGTAAAACCTTCCGAAAGCATATGATCATCTAGGCTCTAGTGATCTCTTATACGCCCTTGATATTATGACTGCTACTAGAACTGCATAACAATGAACTACAACACTTTGGTAACCTGTAACCAACAATTAATATCCATGGTAGATGCTACACCTGTTGGTTTTCATGGACAAACACTCATACATTCACTGAACATGACCAAACTCATATGTCAGTTTCGAAACAGGAGAAGTGATTACCAAGTCAGAGACGTAGCAGAAACTGTATGCTAAGCTGTTGTAGCTGGGATGTTGTAGCGAGTGCGCAAGCCATCGATAGCTCTGGCCACGGACTTTCCCATCTCAGGTAAGGTCACCTTGCACACTGACCAGTTATTTGGCAACCAAGTTAGTAAAATTGAGATTGAAGTGCAGTAAAATTCAGATAGACAGATGCCTCTGCTCGCTGCAGTACCACGAGCCGAAGACGACTGCACATCTGTCATCAACTTCTTGTACGATGCCTGCAAGAAATCCACACCGACAGTAGGATGGCAATTTCAGGCTCCAAATCCACACAGAATTCAGGATCAGACATGGATCGAATCGAAGGAGAAGTGTACCTTCATCTCCTCGGCCTGCTGGGAGTACTTGTCGAGCATCTTCTTATGCTCCTTGTCCACCTCCTCCGACATCTGCACGCAGCTCTGCGTCTGCATCTGAAGTGAAGAGCACGCACGCACGGAAGGGGATCCATCACAATCACAACTCAGGATCGATCGATCGACGCGCTAAGGATGGATGGCAAAGGGGATGAGAGAGGTGGTCGGTCACCTTGATGCGCTTGGAGATCCGCGAGTGGGAGGCCTCGAGGTCACGGGCGTTGTCGGCGTGGAGCGCGTCGAGGCGGCGCTTGAGCGCGGCGAGGCTGGAGGCGGCGAGGCTCCTGAGGTCGCCGACGGAGGACACGGAGGCCGGCGTGGACGTGGCCGCCGCGGTGAGGGGGGATCTGGCCTTGGGCGTCGCCAGCGAGGCGGGCGAGAGGAAGCCGCCGCGGCCGACTGCGACGGGAGAGGGGGAGGGGGACCCGGCGCTGGCGTCGGACGGCGAGGAGGCGCCGGAGAGGGAGTCGGGGCTGGCCTTCCCCTTGGGCTTGGCCCTCACCCTCGCGCTCGCCCTGGGCTTGGGCTTGGAGGCGGAGGGGAGGCCGCGGCCGAGCGCGACGGGAGAGGGAGACCCGGCGCTGGCGCTGGAAGGCGAGGAGGCGGCGGAGAGGGAGTCAGGGCTGGGCTTGGGCTTGGGCTTGGCCTTCCCCCTCGCCCTCGGCTTGGGCTTGGCGGCCGCCGCGGGCGCCTTCCTCATGGCTACCTTGCTCTGAGTCGCGTGGGTGGGGGAGGAAGAAGAATGGTCTGCTCCCAGATTTTGAATTTTGAACGCGAGCTAGCAGTGCTGGTAGGGGGGAGGAAAGCTTTATATGGTTGGAATTTGAAATTTCGTGGCTCGGGTGCATAGCTGGCCAAACGGTGCCGGGCCCGGCCCGGCACAGCCCATCCTAATTGTGCCTGGTACGGCCTAGCTCGCCAAGGCACGATTATTATATGGGTTGTGTCGTGTCGGCCCGTGTGCTGCAGCCTGCAGCCCAGGCACGGCCCATCTGTTAATCGGGCCGGCCCACCAGCATGCCAGGCCCACTAATCTGCCTGCTATTTGGCGCACGGGACATTTTTAGCCTATTTTTACCTACTAGGCCATATAGAGATGTATAAAATAAAAATAATCAAAATCAAAAATCGGGTCGTGTCGTGCCGGCCCGCGTGCTCCGCCTCTAGGCCCAGGCACGGCCCTTGGCGTGCCGCGTGCTGGGCCAAGCCTGTTTAGCACGTGTCATGCCGTGACTGGGTCGTGTCGTGTCGGCCGTGTTACCGGGCCAACCCAGCTATCCCGACCCGTTTGGCCACCTATACTCGGGTGGCTAGGAGAGCAGGTGGGCTCGTTGGCCCACTAGCAGGCCTGGCCAAATGAGCCGGGCCAGGCACAGCAAGTACACAGGTTGTGCTAGGCCGGTAAGACTGTTGCCCTCCCTTGCCCGACACAGGCTCAATGTACGGGCCGACACGGCAGCGTGTTTGGCATGCCAGCCCGCGTAGAATGCGGCCTATTGGTTTGTTTTGGACTTATGTTAAGCCTATCTAGCCTCCCATTCTCATCCCTCCCATCCGCACTACCGTTTCCCCTACTCTTCCTATTCCACTTTGAATCTGAGGTCCGCCAGCTCCATATTACCTATCTACCATCAAATTCATCAGTGAACGGGAGAGGGGGAGGGAGACCCGTCGCTGACGCCGGACGGCGAGGAGGCACCGGAGAGGGAGTCAGGGCTGGCCTTTGTCTTGGGCTTGGCCTTCCCCCTCTCCCTCGGCTTGGGCTTCGCGGCCGCTGCAGGCGCCTTCCTCATGGCTACCTTGCTCTGAGTCGCGTGGGTGGGGGAGGAAGAAGAATGGTCTGCTTCGAGATTTTGAATTTTGAACGCGAGCTAGCAGTGTTGGTAGGCGGGAGGAAAGCTTTTTACGTATGAAAGTTTGAAAATTCGTCGCTCGGGTGGGGGTGGCTAGCAGATGTAGGCTCGCTGCCCACCCGCAGACCTGGCCCAACACTACTAAGAAAAAGGCTAGTAGTAGCGCTGGAAAACTGCCTACTAGTAGCGCGGGTCGCTACAGCTAAATGGTTAGTAGTAGCGCTGGAGCACCCACGCTACTACTAAAGTGATAGTAGTAGCGCTGGTGCACCCGCGCTACTACTAACCTAATTACTAGTAGCGCTCACTTATTTCCTACGCTATTACTAACCTAACTACTAGTAGCGTTCACTTATTTCTCACGCTACTACTAACAAATTAGGAATTAAAAAAATAAAAGTTAGATGTAGTATTCATGGATGACAATACGTCCAGTGCAAACCAAATCAATGTCACAGAACATTCTCAAGATTTCATTTAACATTAGACACACCCAACCATCATCAAAAGGTGGGTTCCATCACCAACCTAAACAGACCACTTCCCTAGATGTATCTACCAAGGCTCGGAGCTTAGACGCCGGTGGACCCGAATCCTCCCTCCCCCCGGACGGTGGCATCGAGGTCCTCCACCTCAGCGACTGATGTCTACTACACAACCTTCTTCTTGTAGACGTTGTTGGGCCTCCAAGTGCAGAGTTTTGTAGAAAAATAGCAAATTTCTCTCAAGTGGATGACCTAAGGTTTATCAATCCGTGGGAGGCGTAGGATGAAGATGGTCTCTCTCAAGCAACCCTGCAACCAAATAACAAAGAGTCTCTTGTGTCCCCAACACACCCAATACAACGATAAATTGTATAGGTGCACTAGTTCGGCGAAGAGATGGTGATACAAGTGCAATATGGATGGTAGATATAGGTTTTTGTAATCTGAAAAATATAAAAACTGTAAGGTAACAAGTGGTAAAAGTGAGCGAAAACGGTATTGCAATGCGTTGAAACAAGGCCTAAGGTACATACTTTCACTAGTGCAAATTCTCTCAACATTAATAACATAATCCTCAACATGCAACAAAATCACTCCAAAGTCACTAATAGCGGAGAACAAACGAAGAGATTATTGTAGGGTACGAAACCACCTCAAAGTTATTCTTTCTGATCGATCTATTCAAGAGTCAATAGTAAAAAAACACGAAGCTATTCTTTCCGTTCAATCTATCATAGAGTTCGTACTAGACTAACACCTTAAGACACAAATCAACCAAAACCCTAATGTCACCTAGATATATACTCCATTGTCACCTCAAGTATCCGTGGGTATGATTATACGATATGCATTACACAATCTCATATTCATCTATTCAACCAACACAAAGAACTTCAAAGAGTGCCATAAAGTTTCTACCGGAGAGTCAAGACAAAAACGTGTGCTAACCCCTATGCATAAGTTCACGAGGTCACGAAACCCGCAAGTTGATCACCAAAACATACATCAAGTAGATCACGTGATATTCCATTGTCACCACAGATAAGCACATGCAAGACATACATCAAGTGTTCTCAGATCCTTAAAGACTCAATCCGATAAGATAACTTCAAAGGGAAAACTCAATTCATCACAAGAGAGTGGAGGGGGAGAAACATCATAAGATCCAACTATAATAGCAAAGCTCGCGATACATCAAGATCGTTCCGAACCAAGAACACGAGAGAGAGAGAGAGGGAGATCAAACACATAGCTACTGGTACATACCCTCAGTCCCGAGGGTGAACTACTCCCTCCTCGTCATGGAGAGCGCCGGGATGATGAAGATGGCCATTGGAGAGGGATTCCCCCCTCCGGCAGTGTGCCGGAATGGGTCTAGAATGGTTTTTGGTGGCTACAGAGGCTTGCAGCGGCGGAACTCCTGATCTAGGTTTCTTTCTGGCAGTTTCAGTATATATAAGAGGTTTTGGTGTTGAGAACAAGTCAGGGGGTCTCCGGGCTGTCCACTAGGTAGGGAGGCGCGCCCAGGGGGGTGGGCGCCCCCCCCCACCCTCGTGGGCAGCCCGGGACTCTTCTGGCCCAACTCTTTTACTCCATGTCCTTCTTCTGGTTCAAAAATAAGTTCCGTGAAGTTTCAGGTCAATTGGACTCCGTTTGATTTTCCTTTTCTGTAAAACTCAAAAACAAGGAAAAAACAGAAACTGGCATTGGGCTCTAGGTTAATATGTTAGTCCCAAAAATCATATAAAATAACATATAAATGCATATAAAACATCCAAGGTTGATAATATAATAGCATGGAACAATCAAAAATTATAGATATGTTGGAGACGTATCAGCGACCTCCGGCGTCGAAATCACCTGGACAATCATCTACGCGGCGTGGCCACCGGCTTCACGGAGAAGTCCGCCTCCGAGTGGTTGAAGAGCACAGCGCCCACCGGTCGCGCTAGTCAGCGTCGATCACCCCTGCGCCCATGTCGAGAAAGTGAAAACTTGTTAGTACGCAAATAGCATCAGTTGAACTAAATGGTATATTCCAATTCACAAGACCCATTAAGTTAAGATTCCTTCTCATCTAGCAATTTAAAGGGGCTCATGCCAAAAATATATGCTTAATTCCTCACTGGCTATTCAAACTAAATGGTCCAAGAACTTTGGGACAATCAACAGCCTTTCCACTTGATCTCCGCTAGCTAATTTGGATTCAACAAAAAAGGAACATTTATTTGAACTGAAAAGAACAAGCAGGCAAGCATGCTATCAATCTTTTGGCTAGAATTTCACAAAATGCATCTGTCAAGTGTACTCTAACAATCGACGTGTCCCATCTCCTCATGATTAAGGACTCTAGCTGAGCCGACAACATGGAGCAAGATGTAGCCGTTTCCGAGCATGAACCCTTGGCTGTCATTAATGAACCTGCAACATTTATCATGCCCATTGTAAAATATGTTAGTTTCAGATAAGAAAAGAACTGAACTCTGAACATATGATGTTATCTAAATCCTTACTTTATGGAGTAAAGATTCCAGGAGATGTCATCGGCAGCAAAAAAAGGCAATATATTTCACTGATTTTGGTGTTCCAACAATGTATATACTTTATCACATTATAAGTCATCACACCATCAACTATGACAAAATCTGAGAGTATAAGTCTGGCTACATTGACCCAAGTCCAAACATAAAATTCTGTCCAACATAGTACAACCCACTTTGATAATTTCATAGGATTTAATATACCAAACAAAACCTGACAAGTGATATGTGTTTAAGTATCTAAAGAACAGCTTCTAAAATTTTCATGTTGTAACTTTATTTTAATATCACCTCTAACAGGGCCTAATCTCCCATATCAAAATACTGTACACAGGAACATATATTTCAGGACAATAAACTAAACTGATGGCTGCTCTCAAACCATACATCCAAATGACACAAATAAATACTCTAAAGAAACCTTGGAAATTTGAAATTTCGTGGCTCGGGTGGCTAGCAGAGCAGGTGGGCTCGCTGCCCACCAGGAGACCTGGCCAAATGGCCGTCCTGGTCAGGATTATGCGGGCCAGGCACGGCAAGTACACAAGCATGGCACGACAGCCTGTTTGGCATGCCAGCCTGCGTAGGATTCGACCTATTGGTCTGTTTTGGACTTATGTTAAGCCTATTGGTTCGTATAAGAATAAAAAAGGGGTTGTGTCGTGCCGGCACTTGTGCCTAACCTCACAATCCAGGCATGGCCCTAGGCGGGCCAGGCCCATCACTGGTCGGGCATGCAGGCTATTGGGCCAGCACGCTAAGACCAGCCTATTTGGCCAGGTTTGCCGACCAACATTCCAGTCCTATACTCGGCCATGTATG